CATGGGAATGGAACAGGAAGAGAGCATGATGTCATACGAGGGGGAGGGGCCATACGAGGATACGCACATGGAGGACAGCAACGTCAGGTCAGAAAACACACAGATGTCCTGCACATCTGTGGATTAATGGTGTGCGTGTGTGTGTGTGTGTGTGTGGTTCTCCGTCTGGAGTGCAGTTTGCTCTGGTCCGATGTTCAGCCAGGTTTGTTTGATGTGGCAGGTTTTTTTTTTTGGAATTTTCAGTGTATCTGGAATCTTTCACACAGACACTTTATTACCAAGAGACACTTGTCTTGCTAGATTAATTCAGCTCATTATTAAAGTGTTCTCTAACTTCCTCTTTCAGAATTTTAGTGAAATTTATATGGAAGCCCATTTGCCCAACTGAGAAAGAAATAGCCATTTAGTGCATCATAAATTCATGTTTCCCATAATTCAATTAATTATGACTTAGTATCTCATAGTTATTAGTTAACACATCATAATGAAAATATTTTTTTTTCATTATTATAAGATACTAAGTCATTATGGTATTATGTCATAATCGAGATACGAAATCATAAGTGAGATACTGTCATTAGATATTATATCATAATTGAGAATGTCTTAGTTATGAGATACTAATATATATGAGAAATGAGATGGTAAGTCATAAGTGATAAATGGATACAGAAAACAGATATTTATATCAATTTAAGATTTAGTATCTCTTAATTATGACTTACCATCTTATAACTATGACTTAGTATTTCATAACAATTAAAGAAGTTCTCAGTTATGTTATAGTATCTAATGACAGTATCTCAGTTATGATGGTATCTCATAATTATGATTTAGTATCTTATAATACTGAAACAGTTCTCACAATTATATTATTTTAAGATACTAAGTCACAATTATGAGATCATGTGACCTTTTTTCCCCAAGTGGTACAAATGAGCTTAGTCAAGTGTGTTGGAGATCTCAGGTTTGATTGCTCTCTTCTGCATTTGGATTAGATGAGCTTCTTATTGCAAAATATTGATTGATAAGCCATAATATAGCTGAAATTATGTCCTTTAGAATATTACAAAGACAAATTCTTCATTATACACACAATTAAATAGCTCTAAAAAACAAATGATGATAAAACTACTTTTAAGTGCTGTATGTGTATTATTTTCTGTAAATAATGATGTTAGTACAGAGGAAACATATGGGTTTTACAGTCTGTTCTACTTGAGCTGCTACATGAAAAGTGTGCTATAATTAAATATGTATATGAATTGTTGTTATTAATAGTAGTGTCAGTATTGTTGGCAGTGTTATTATCTGAGATGGTCTATACATACTAATCTTTGTCTTTCTGTCTCAGTTACGGCAGCTGTGATGAAGGAGACAGTCAGCGTCAGGGGCGGAGCTCCAGCCCAGGCGGAGTGGAGGGGGTGTACGGAGTGAGTGAAGAAGAAGAGGAGGAAGAGGAGGATGAAGCAGAAGAGCGAAGGAGGGGCCCAAGTGTTCTCAATCAGGTCCAGCTCAGCGAGGACGAGGAGGACAGCGAAGAGTTCAGATCCATCGGAGGAGACAGTGACATGGACTCAGATAATTAACAACACATTAACACAGCAGTTCGGCTGCAGCAGCAACTTTTCCTGCTCAGTCACTCGTTCTGTTGTGTTTGAACTTGCGCTGATCACAGATCTGTACATATTCTACACTGTTTAGTGCATCATGCAACACAAGTGATGATTCCTCATTTAATGTGGAATTACAAACGTAAGCGATTTAGTTTGTGTTTTATAATTCTGTTATTTTTTGTATGTGAGCCAGTGAATTCTGTGATCTGGAGAGTCATTGGAAATAAAAGTTTGTGTTTCAAAACATCACATTCTGAAAATATTTGAAATAAATATTCAAGCCTGGTCTCACAGTCAAACAGTGTGAGGGACGTCACTGCAGTTCAGCAGGCTGGATTCACTATTTGGTAATTTGGTTGCAATAAATGTATAAAATGATTTGATCGTGATGCTCTAGAGCTTTTAGATCATCAGTAGAACACTGTAAATACAAATGGAGAAATGTTAGATGAGATGAAGTTCTAACAAAATTATCATCCAGAATGATTTTTTATTAAAGTTACATAAATTTACAAAATGAAGTTGTAATAAAATGAATGGTCAAAATGATATTCTATTAAAATTTATGTCAAGAATGAAGATCTATTAAAATTAATGTCTTAAATGATGTTCTAATAAAATTAACGTTCAGAATGAATTTCTGATAAAATAAGCGTCCAGAATTAAGTTCAAATACAATTGTTGTGAATGAAGCTTTATTTAATAACATCCTCAGTGAAGTTCTAATATAATTAACATCCAGAATAAATTTATTATTAGAATTAATGTTGGGGCTTTAAGTTAATTTGTTCAAATTCAAAATCGTCCAAAATAAAGTTCTAATAAAATTAACATCCTGAATGAATTCCATTAAAATTAATGTGCAGAAATAATTTCTATTCAAATAATCGTCCAAAATGAATTTCTACTAGAATTATCATCGTACATGAATTTCCAAAATCAAATTCTAATAAAATTTTAATGAATTAAGTTCTAAAAAAATGAACATCCAGAATGAAGTTCTAATAAAATTAACGTCAAGTGCACAAAAACTCATCTCTCACATTGAAAATAAAAGGAAATAATTTTAATTATTCTGTTATTCACACTGCAATTCACACAAACATTATTTTATCTGTTCCTGAATCTTGTAACAGACATTATCATATATCTGAGCTTGTATGTATCAGTTTTACAGTGACTCAGTAAAGAGTCCTGCATAGAGCTGCAGCCACTGTTTTCCATTCCTAACAACTAACCGGAACACTTCTTAAACTACGGCTCGAATTCACTGTCAGTTATCTAGAACTTCTAGAAGGACTACAGCAACGTTTCCTGTTCTTCTTATTGTAAATTGTTAGTGTGATTGGTTAACATGCTTAGTAGCTAATCTAACATCTAAGGCCTTCTGTCCAGCTTCTAAAGTTCTAACCAATGGGAGAACAGCTTGGCTGTATCTACCTACATATCACACAGAGAACGATCCTGATTGGATAGTGTTCTGTTGGGCGTTTCAAGATTGTTTCCGACCAAAACTGAACAATGAAATGAGTAATAGAGTTTAAACACAATAAGCATGATGAGTCTATTAAGCAAAAATCAAAAATGATATATTTCACAGAAATCATTAGACCTTCTCTGAAGATCCAGGAGGACCTGAGGGTTCCTCACTGTTATACATGGTTAAGTGGTTAACAGTGGTTATTGTTATATATCCAATATTTATCATGGACTGAAGTACAGACGCAGTTCAGGCTACTATTTTTAGCTGCGCTCATGTACTTTAGTCCATATCTATAGGTAACAGTGACTCATACAGTGTCAGACCAGGTAATGAAGTCTATTAGAGATCACAGGACGCAGACTGAGACCAGAGTGTAGGTTACAGTGAGGAGGACGTCAGTGACTGAAGTAGCGAACAGATTTCTGTATTTTCCTCGTTTCCTGCTGCAGAGACTGTAAACAACTTCCAGTTTCCCACCAACAACCATAAACATAACAGCTGTTACCATAGTCACCACTGTTCAGTCTGTTGTTTTATATACTCCTTACTAACTGACAGTCAGTTAGTATGGATTTAGCATATCACTGCTGTCCGAACAAAACCTTGTATCTCCATTTTTGTCATTTTTAATCATTTGAAAATGCCTGTTGCTCTTTGCATTGTGTTCAAATTTCAGGAATAATGGCCCAAAACAGCTTGGAAAGAAGTCTGGTTCCGTTGACTTACATTACAGGACAATATGTTTTTTCCTTCTCCTGTAAAGTTACTATTTGGGAGATACGAGGTTTTCTTCCGACAACAGCGATATATATATATATATATATATATATATATATATATATATATATATATATATACACATATGTGTGTGTATATATGCATATGTATGTATGTATGTATGTGTGTGTATATATATATATATATATATATATATATATATATATATATATATATATACACACACACACATATGTATGCATATGTACGTAAAATAGGAATAGGAACTGTTTCTGTGCGTATAGGTGTAGGCCTCACCTTAAGATTCCTGTAAAAGTCTTTGAAGGAGTGGCTCATCCATACATGCTAATATCGCTAACAGAAAGTAGTCAAATTAGCATGAGGTAATTTTCAGAATGCTAACTGAGCTCCTCCAACAAAAAAACATACATTAAACGTTCCACTATTTTTTCCACTATTTTTTTCTGTTTTACTTTGTACAACATGTTACATAAAAAAAAAACAGAATATGCATTATTTATGTTTTAGTGACCCCTTCGTTTTAAACAGAGAATCAAACAGTGCCATACCATGTTTATATTATTTTATGAAAAATGTCACATATACTGTTTTTTTGAAGCAAGAGCACCTTTAGCATTACTGACTGGACGTTCTTTTACAAGTATCATAGAGTACCGTATGGCAGAACTACAGAAATATACAAAAGAAAGAATAAATAAATGCAAACGTTTGGGCTCCACGGTCAAATTCCATGTTTTACTGATTTGCGCAGTTACAGTTTATTTTAAATTTGTTTCCTGCAGAGGATGTTGAACTTATGCTCTGTTGACCTTCTTACTGAAAATTACAGGTGTATAAATTGTAGAATTTTCTGTGTTTAGAAATTGTGTTGTAAAGTTTGTATAAGTTCAGTGTTTCATTTAGACCATAATTTATCTTTCTAATGCACTAGTATTTGAATAATTACTACAACTATTATTATTATTATTATTATTATTATTGTAAATCTAACATTTTCAGTATAAAAAAAATTATTTATTGATTTATTTTTATATGAGGAAATAAGGAAAAAATCTGTTTTTCTGTTAAATTCCGGGGCAGTGAGTTTGTATCAGGAAGTGAACACCGTCTCCAGCTCAGAGTGGTCTTTATCACCGTTTCAGGGCGTGTTTATGACTCCGTCTCTCTCAGACTAACGTTCCAAGCCGTGTCTGTTTCAGAACCGGGTTCTCTGTGTCAGTGTCCATTTACAGGATGAAGCTCTTTCTGCATCTGTGTTTCTTTGCTGTGTTTATTTTTACTGTAGATGGACAGATGGGTGAGTGTGGCCATGTGTATTAGGGAAAAAATCCAATTTATTAATTCATAACTAGTTCAATAATTTAACTTTAATTGATCAGCTAACTGGCTAACTCATACTTCTCAACTTAGCATACTTAAGTATTCTCAAATAACTTAAACCATTTGTATTTGTCTTGTATTTTCAGATTTCATTACATCTGTACATTTAAATACTAAGTAATATGTATTTAATAGTAAATAACCTATAACTATAATCTATAACTGTAGGTTAGCTGAAAACAGTTGGAAATCTACTAAGTAGATTAGCATGTAGTACATTATGCACTATGTATATCATTCTTTTTCAGTTAAATTCTATGTGTGGCCTTATTCTGTCTTCTATTTCAGCTTTATTTTATATCTTGTTTTTATATTGTTCTATGCATCATTCTTGTTTTAGATGTAGTTTATGGATCTGTTTATGTCTTTAAAATTAGCCAATGTGGATAATCTGACACATTTGGAATCACTTGTCATATTAATAATTGTTATTTAGTGATAACTTGTACAGTGTAAACACTTGGTTTATTCACAGTATAAAGGACAACAAAAGCTATGACATGGTAAAAAAAAACAAGCAAATATTATTAAGTAATAAATATAATAACAATGATCTTTTTATAGTAATCTTTTATCACAAAATAACCATAAAAAAATTTAAACATCATTTTAACCATATTTGCATCAAAATTGACATTATATCATTGAAAACAGTGATTCCGAACTTATGAATGGTGGCGTACTTGTTTATTATTATCTGATCTGAATAATGTAAAATGGAAAGTCTATATTTTGAAATGTAAGCAGGTTTAGGGAGTATTAATGTGTTCATTAGTGTGAATAATGCAGTAAATGGACTGAACGTTAATGCTGGTGCTGTGTTTGTTCTGCAGCGGATCTCTGCACAGGAGTCATGGACTTTGATCCCTGCAAAGACTCTAATTCCTGGAACTGTAATTTAAACGTCAGCGCGTGCTTCTGCAAATCAGAGAAGCCTTTCTGCAGGTAATCAATAACCACTACGTTATTGCAGGTGATCAGTAACCAGTCTCTTACTGCAGATGATCAATAATCAATACCCTAGTACAGGTAATTAATAGCGAGTCTCCTATTGCAGATGATCAGTAATCTGTACCTTACTGTAGGTAATCAATAAACAGTCCCCTGCTGCAGATGATCTCTCATCAGTGCCTTACAGAAGGTAATCCATAAACGTCATTTAGGGCAGGTAATCAATCACTACCTTACTGCACATAATCAATAATCAGTAACCTACTGCAGGTGATCCATAACCAGGTTCTTAGTACAGGTGTGCTATAATCAACATCTTGTTTCCTGAATACTTTACTATAGTTGATCCATAATCAGTCACTTATGGTAGCTAATCAATAATAAAAATGTATATGAATGATGTTGTATGGATGTCTTCAGTTGATCAGCAATTAGTCCCATTAATATCTCGTGTGTATATATATATATATATATATATATATATATATATATATATAGATATATATACATAGAGAGAGAGAGAGATAGATATATAGATAGATGTTCACTCAAAAGAGCCAGAAAACACATTTAATAGTAACAGGAAATCACACAGAAGCCTCAACAACCAAACTGAATTAAGATAAATAATAACTAATTAATTAATGTATTGATAATCTCAGCTGTGTGAGTCAGTGAGTCACACTCTACCTTTACTCCAGCTTCTATTCTTTTCAGGAGACTCACTTTCAGTTCCTCAAAGAATCTGCAGACTCGCCTCCAAAGTTCAGTCTTAGAAGCTGGTTGATCATTTTGTTTAGTAATCAAACACATTCAGTGGTGTTGAGGTCTGGACTCTGGGGTGGTCAGTCCATCGTTCAGCTTCTTTGTTTGATGTGTCCGTCTCCTTTTCTCAGTGAGGTTCTTCTTGATCAGCTACACATCCTTTCAGACCCACAGCGCTGAGTCATCTTCTCACAGTGGAAGGATGGACAGAAACACCTGTGGATGTTTTCAGATCTGAAGCAGCTTGATTTTCTCCTCTCTCTCAAAGATGAAAGCTTTAAGTGCTGTTTATCTGATGGGGGCAGTTTTGGGGTCGACCAGGTCTTCCAGGTGGTTGTTAGGAATCACATTTTCTCTGTAGCTTTTAGTCAGTTTTTTGGACAGCTGCTTTGACTGGACTTTGAATAGATGAAGGATGGACTTTTCCACAGTTCTGTATGAACTATACGACATTTTCAGTAAACTGCACTGTTTTGTGGAAGTTAACAGTGTCTGTCTGTCTGCAGGTGTAATAACTTTAAAGATGAGTTCTATCTGGGCGAGGACTGTAATCAGAAGTGGACGACGCTGACCTTCGCCCTTGTGGCCTCTCTTCCTGGAATCACTCTGGCTCTGGTGGTGGGAGTGACCGTCCACATCATACACACCTGTCAGAAATCCAGTGAGAGCAGCGGGTGAGAAACGCACCCCTCTGATTGATTTCATACACTGTTGATGACCTGTAACATTAGGATGTTATTAAAAGTTTGTGTAAGCAGTTTTCTGAGTTTGTCAAACCACAGAAAAATTAGGTTTCAGGGTTTGTGCACATTGTACACATACTGACGTGATACTGACGTACTACTTCCTGTTTCAGTGATATTTAATGTATGTTTGATAGATAACGACCATTTAATATTGTGCATTTCACTCATGGTGTTCAGTCCTTGATGGTTTACATTTGCTTAAAATCCATAAAAATAAGGAAACTCAGGAAAGCGCGAGTCCATTAGCTTCATCAGTGTTAACCTTTAACAACTGATAGCGTGATACTGTGATACGTTTGAAAATCCCATAATAGTAAATTTTATCAGTAGCTAATTTAACATATGGATAGCTGTTCTGAGAGGAAAAAAGACCTACAGTATCTAAATATTAGTTTAATATTTAAATATTATTATCTAGTAGGGGTGGGAATCTTTAGGCACCTCACGATTCGATTCGATTACGATTCAGAGGGCTGCGATGCGAATATAAAACGATTATCGATGCATCTTTTTTTCTCTATACAGGATTTCTATCTTCCTACTGTCTAAAAACTTGGTGGTTTTAAAGCAAAGTATTTGTAATGATCCACAATGTAAATGCATTACGGATCATTACAAATACTTTGCTTTAAAACTACCAAGTTTTTAGACAGTAGGAAGAATACTTTGCTTTAAATATCTAAAATATCTTTTATTAATAAATCAAATGGAGGTGATGTGGCAAGTGAACTAGAAGGCTCATTCAGAGACGCTGCTGCCATTCGAGACTGGACGCTGAATCTCGGCTCCAAAGTGGGCAGCATAGCGCGAAAGCCCTGGTTCTCAACGACTGAGAACAGACAGCAGACAGCAGGTCACATAGCCCCGAAGTCTGGCCTCGCCAGTAGCGAACGAAAAAACAGAGATTCAGACGAACATTTGGAGACTTATTCGCATTTATAAGCAGCGCGGTTGGTTTAATCTGCTGAGAGACTGTCTTTCTCTAAAAAGTTGCGAAAATGAACTCGCTTCTCTTTCGAATTTTCCCGTTCCACCTTAAATCTTGCAGCAGTTACATTTGGCGCCTGAGGCAGAATTTAAGGTGGAACGGGAAAATTAGAACGAGAAGCAAATGAGAAGCGACTTCAGCCTCGTAAAACAGCCGGACGCTGAGACATTTTACAAGAAACTCTTCTAGTTTTGAAGGAAGGTTTTCTGGCGGAGATGGGAGGAAAGCGGCTGTAGCTGAAGCTTAAAGCAGAGCGAAGTAAATCTGCGCTCTCGTTCATATTGTTTAGCCTAAACTGCGACATTAACACATACTGAGGCATACTGGACATTAAATGTTGTGGCTCCCAAGGTGGTTTGATTTTTGTTAAAAAGACAAAATGGCTCTTCTTATCATTTGTGTTGTGACTCCTGACCTAACCTGGCTTTAATGCAGAGGGAGCTGGTCGGATTTCTCGCTCATCCAGTGGTGTTTTTGTTATGTGCCGCCACTGACTGTCCGGGCGCTGCACTTTCCCACTTCCAGTTCCACCTTTTGCGTTCCCTCAACATTACGTTATAAATTAAATATTTAGAAAATCGATTTTTAACATTTATGAATCGATTCAGAATCGTTCACGTCCGCATCGCGATGCATCTAAGAATCGAGTTTTTTCCCGCACCCCTATTATCTAGTAAGTTAAAATACAGTTTAGACGGAATTACTGTGAGTGAATTTGCGGATTTCTGCACCAGGTTTAATAATCTGACCTCAGAGAACGGATCTGTCATTTTGCTCAGAACATTATCATTCCATAGTTTTAGAGCCTACATATTTTGTTTTGACTTCTCCATCACCCTGTATTCCAGCGGTCAGCAACATGCGGCTCTTTTACTGTCCTGTTGCGGCTCCACAGCAGAATCAGATTTGTAGGTAAAAGTAAAATAATCCTCCTTTACAGTAAAATAAAGCTCTGCTGATCGTTCAACACAGTTTAACAGTAAATGGGCTGAAACTCTGGAGTTAATGTCGAACTGCTAATTCACCCTTTAACCCTGAAGATCAGCGCAGACTGCTGGTCACCATAGCAACACAGACAACAGTCTCGCCTAGCTAATAGCTACAAAACGGCAAAGAGAGAAATTTAAGGGGAACATCGATAATTTGGAGACAAATGGACTTATTTGTGTTTATAATCACTCCAGCTGGTTTCCTGATACGTTTAATCTGCAACGAGAAACTGACAAACACTAAAAAGCAGCAAAGCTGAAGTTTCTCGTTCGCCAGCTTCGTCTTCAAATTTTCCTGTTCCACCTTAAATGGTGCAGCAGTCACATTCTGGCACCTCAGGCACCATTTAAGGTGGAACGGGAAAATTCAACCAAGAAGCCGGTGAATGAAAAGCAACTTCAACCTCGTAAAAAGTAAAATGTTGAGACATTTTACAAGAAACTGTTCTACTTTTGAGGAAAAGTTTCCTGCTGGAGATGCGAGAAAAGCATCTATATCTGAGCTAAAGCTTAAAGCAGAGCAAAGTAAGTCTGTGTTTTCGATTATATTATATTTTTAGCCTGTACTAGTAAATTAGCACATACTGAGACAGATCAGGCGAGATCCCAAGGTTTCCCAAGCTCCCAAGGTGGTTTGATTTTTGTTGAAAGGACAAAATGGCTCTTCTTAACATTTGGGTTTAATTTTCATCAGTTTCATTTGTAAAGAGTGGTTTAGCATCTTATCATAACACACAATGCATTGCACATCATGATTAGGTGAACATCGTTCTCCATTTCATTACATTTAGCTCGAAATCAAATGAGTTAATGATTATAAAGACATTTATTTAGCCAGGGAAATTAGTTATCTAACTGAAGTTCACTTTGGTAGGGGTCAGTTTTACATGGTATATATCAGCCGGAGATCCACTGAGCTTACCTTGCATGGTCATTAAGTCTGGTAGGCTTGGCTACTTAAAGTACAGCGTAGCTGGTAGTGCTTTTGGCCTCGCTAGAGAAATAAAGAGGTTAGCCAGAAACGAGACATGAGACGAGTGTGAAATGTACCTGCTGGTCACTGACCCAGCTCAAACAGCCCGTTGTTCTTCCATTTTTACGATGTCAAGCTTGTAAGGATAGAAGAACCTTTTTGGTGCTATATAGAACCCTTTTCAAAAAGGTTCTCTATCAATCTGAAGAACGATTACACCACACGAAGGGCCTTTGTATCAAGCAAATGGTTCTTTGAGTGTTCATGGTTCTATATAGAACCATTTTCTTTACTAAAGAAACCCTGAAGAACCGTCTTTTTTAAGCGTGTATATTTTTGTTTATATTTGCAAGTGCAAAGTCAAAATTTATTATGTTTGTAAATCTGAAGTGCATGTTTGGATGCATAAAAACAAAAGTGTCTGAAAACTCGGTTCCGTTCACTGTAGAACAGAAGGGCTCTCTGAGTGGAGGAACTTATTATCAGCTTTCTGAACAGAGTTACTGATAAGAAATGCTTGAAGCAGCTAAACTGCGTCCCTGACCGTCAGCTGATAATGACGAGGGTGACAAGGGTTAGAAGGAGCAACTTCACCAGCGTTTCAAAATTTCTGCGTAGTTAAATGGTTGAGAATTTTGTAAACAGAGTCTTTCAGAGTGGTTTGGTGTGAAATGATCTGTTCTAGATAAACCTCCTCACCTCCTATTCTCACCTAGCTGGATTTTTAAGTTATCTATTAGTAACAAAACATAGTTTACTGTTATACTATAGACTGTAAAGACCCTTTTGTCTTTTTGGCCTGCAAATGTTGATCTTTAACCCTCCAATACAAAACTTTCTCTCACAGAAAGTAATTACATGAAATGGTATGAATATGCTAAATGGGCTGCAAGATGTCTGAGACACTGTTTTACGATAGTTTTGATAATTTATTAAATCTGTTCATGTTACATTCAGGATGTTGTGAGACACAATAGCCCTACAGAAAAAGTATTATTTTAGTAATCACTATTTTACCATTTCATCAACATTATATTTACAAATATTATTGGTTTCTTCAAAATGTTGTTTCCAGTTAAACTGGAAAAAGTGTTATTACATTAAAAAAAACATTAAAATGGAGAAAAAGTGTCCTTCCATTGGAGATAAATGTTTTATCACATTGGAAAAATGTGTTACTACAAAAAAAACATGTTATCACAAAAAAATGTAAATTGGAGAAAAATGTGTTTTCATGTGAAAAAAGTATAATCACATGTTTTAAGGCATGACATGTCAGATGTGATCACATTATCCACATATTATATGTGATCACGTTTTGTACATACTTCACCTGTGAAATACATGTGACTTTATTATATGAGGGATGATAAATTATATTCTGAAAAGTTCTACGTCCCCAAACGTTTGATGTTCTACCTTCTGTAGTTACTCACAGTGTGTTTGTTCGTTTTTGTTTGTTTTACAGAGGAAACAAACAGCAGTCCAGTTCCCCTACGACAGAGGAGACCATGTTCCCTGGAATAGTTTTTGCATCTGATGTGAATGTAAGTCATTGTTTAATTATATATAACATTGAGTTGTTCACGTAGTCTGACGTTCCCTCAGCACAGCCAACAAAGGCCACTAACGGCATGTAAATAGATACATATGCAAAATATATGCAAATAATTTAGTCTGTCATGTTAATTAGTAAGTAGTGTTTCACACAGCCATTCTCCATGCCTGCCCACTATAACCTGCAGTCTGAATTCACTACTATTTCAAACCTTTTGTTGATTTTTATGCTCCAAAACAAAAAATTAAGCACTTACTCTGTTAATTTGAAATTCAATTGCTCCAAATGTGCTCGGTGTTTCTTTTATCTTACCATCCACACTACTCCAACATTTTTTTCTACATGTTCATTTATACTCATTCTTTAATTGTTTCATTAGTATTTTACAGCGGGAAAACACAAAACTGTGCTACCATCAGTTTCCTCGTCCTGTTCTGTAATCCGCTGATTCTGCCTCCGACGCATTTTTTTTATATTCTTTTATCCATTCGTCCATCTTTCCACTCAGCCACACCCCTGATTTCTCCTGTTGCTCTATAATGACATTGCCAATCATACGGGAAAACCACAGCACTGTAAACCCATCTAATGATTAAACAGTTATTCAAGTCCCATAAAGTAGAGAGAGACACAAAGAAGACGCAATTCCTGAATATAAAATCTGTAATAATCTGTAATAAAATCTGTAATGATTACAGGTAAACACATGGTAAACTTTCGTAGCTATGCTGATGACACACAATTACACATTTCTCTTCACTCTGAAGGTCAAGACTCTGCAACAAACGACTAATTTCATAGTCAAATAATCTATCACTTACTGAAACGAATAATAGATTATTCAGATTATGAATCTCTACATTACCAAATAACTTTTATGTAGTTGGTTATGTAGGAGGTTATTTTGTGCATTTGCTAACTCACAATGAAGACAATAAAGATGAATAACATTCAAGAATTCACTGTTTTAATTAACATTCCTGCTGATACAGAAGATAAAAAAATAAAGCTCCAATATATTTTTCCTGTCAAAATTTATAACCAAGGAGATGCGCTCTGACGGAGCAGATGGGAAAGTGGAGAATGTTGTGGCAAACTTCTCTATGAACAGTTAAATGTGAACAATTTTGTGTAAACGCTTCATTTCAACGGGCCAATTTGGAAATAGAAAATATTACAGCTCAGCTCAGAACATGAAGTAGGATGGAATTTAACATTAGCTAACTAGCACAACTGACAGAGTTTAGCTCCCACACTTTTGTTCTTGAGGCTGCCATTGCGCTGTTGTTAACTCTCCAGTGAGCGGTAATGTCAAAACGTTTCTAGTGAGCACGAGACAGACGCGTAATGACATCACCAGCTAATCGACTACTAAATTAGTTGTCAACTAATTTGTTCGTTGATTTTAGTCGACTAAGTCGAATAATCGTTGCACCCCTAGTTGATAAGCTAACAAATTGTGTCAGACGTCTCCAAACGAATGTCAAAAAAATGTCTGCAGCTGATTCAGGACAAAACTGAAATTCTTGATTCTTGGCACTGAAACTTGTGAGAAATTCGATCCTTTGGCATCATATGTTTAATCTGAATTACAGAATCTAGGTGTCATTTTTGGTTCTCATCTTTGTTTTATCCCTTGTTTAAATAATGTTAGGTGTGCATTCTGTCATCTGAGGAATATTGCTATCACCTTTCGGCCACAATTCTAACGAGAATTTCCTGTAGATGGGATTTTTGTCACTGCTGGTCGACTCATATGACTGTGCACTTCGATACACCTGCAAATTCAGCTGCTACTTTCACACTGTGGCCTTTGACTCACCCAATTGCAATCACTCCTTTTTGCCAGTCATTAACATCTGCCTTGCAACCTATTTTCCACTCATCGAATGAGACATTCACTGCACTGTACCACCTTTTCTCAATCTACGAATCCGTCACACACCCTGCAGGTATTTATAGCCTGGTCATCCTTGTGCAGCTAGTAAAGTGAAGGAGAATAGAAACTAAAAACAAGATTAAAACAGTAGATTTTAAAAGAGAAGAATCATTAAATTTAAAATTAAAGATTAATTTAGGATAATAAAGTGCCATGATAAAGCAGAAGGGCTAGAAACACTAACAAAGTTTAAACTGAGCTGAAAGCTGCTCTAATAGGAACGTTTTTAGACCAGATTTAAAAGTGTCCAGTGTCGGGGCTCTTCTAATGCTCTCTGTCAACTGGTTCCATTTAAGAGCAGCATAGTAGCGAAACACTGCTTCTCCATGTTTAGTCTACACCTTCCGCAGGACTAACTGACCAGTTCCTAATGATCTGAGAGTTCTGATCCTGCACCATTAAGACATTTATAAAGCAGTAATAGCACCTTAAAGTCTATTCAGAACAGACTGGTAGGCAGTGTAAGGATTTAAGAAGGGGGGGCGGGCTTCCTTCTTTACTCCTAGTAAGACTCTGAACCAGCTGAAGCTGTTTGTCTTTTTTGGGAGTTCAGTTAGGAGACCATTACAGTGATCAATCCTGCTATAAATAAAGGCGTGGATGAGTTTCTCCAGGTCTGCTTTAGTCAGAAAATCTCTGATCTTGTTGATGTTTCTAAGGTGATAAGTAGAATTGATTATTGTACTGGGCTTCCTAAGAAAACTATACGTTCTCTATACCTTGTACAAAATGCAGCAGCACGAATCCTAACAAAAACAACACAGAGAGATGTTTAGAAACTGGCTGTCTGGATATTCCAGGATAGATTTTACATTCTTATATTGGTTTTAAAGCCCTAAATGGCCTTAAAGCTCCTGTGTGCCTCAGTTTGTGTTCCAACACATGACATTAGATCAGCAGATTCTGTCCTTCTCCACACTACAGACACAGTGGAGTGGCTTGCTTCTGTTTTTATGCCTCTAAATTGTGGAACTCGTCACCTTCTACTACTTATTTTTTTGTTCGATCGTATTAGGTTTCCTTATTTTGTTTCTATTCTGCTTTCAGGTTCAGTTTATATGTTTAATAATCATTTGAAAATGTATATTTTAACCCAGTTATTAACTAAAATACTGTTATCATTCATTTGAGTTTTATTCTTTCTGTTCCGATTGTGCTTTTGTTTTTATTATTTAATTTTACTTTTCAATTGTAGGACACTTTGAGCTGCTTTGTTTGCGGAAGATGTTCTATTAAATATTATTATTATTATTATTATTATTATTATTAATAATAATAATAATAAATATGTTTTTGCATTTATTGTAAAGTTGTGTTTTGCAAAATTCTTAGCTGTGACTACATTATGTATCAGAATTGTCATATTTTTGTTTGTTTCTTTCTGTTTCTCTCTCTTTCTCTCTAAGGCTCGTCCTAAAGGTCATCCTAATGGTCATCCTCCTGATCCGAGCCCACCACAAGGTGGATTTACTGCGCCAACTGCATCCTCACGCCCGTACAGGTGAGCACTGACCTGCAGATGGAGGTAAAAAGTTGTGTTAAAGTGTATTGGCTTTTGCGACTGGTCTTCCATGTTGCGCAGGAACATTTGAAAAAAGAACCAATGTTTCATACCTTGAACTGCAAACGTCAGCTGCCTCCTGATCAGGTAAATGCTTCACGTTGACTCATTGATTCATTAGCATGAAGTTCAGCTCCTCTCAACTTTGTGATGCATTGCATCCCCCAAACTCGACACACCAGACTCATCATGAGCCTGACAGAACCAATGCGGAGTATTGACCTGCTGGAGCAGTGTAAACGCAGCGTTAGTCCTTGAGTTCTCTGAGGTCCCTGACTTCTCTGAGGTGTCAAAAAAGTTGAGGTCCTTGAGTTCCCCCATTTCCCTTATTTCTGTGAGTCCTCAAGCCCCTGAATCCTGGATGCTTGCATCTTTGAGCTCCTTAGGTTCCCGAGATCCATAAGTTCCTTGAGTTCCTGAATTCTGAGTCTCTAAACCCTGAGTCTCTGAATTCCTGAGGTCCTAGAGTCACAGAGGTCCCTAAGATTCCCCAGTTCACAGAGTAGCACAAGATCTCGATGTCATGGAGTCCCTGAATACTTTAATCCTCAATCCTTTAATTCCTGGGCCCTTGAGTCTCTGAGGTCCATCAGTTACTGAGATCTTGGAATCCCTGAGTCCTTGAATTTACAGAGTTCCCAGGTTTCCTGTGTTCCCCCCTTTCCCTTACTTCTGTGAATCCTTAAGTCCCTGAATCCTAAATTCTTGCATCCTTGACCCCTTAGGTCCCCGAGACTCATGAGCTCCTTGAGTTCCTGAATCCTGAATTTCTAAATCTCTAAATCCCAAGTCCCTGAATTCCTGAGGTCTTAGAGTCCCAGGAGTTCCTGAATTTCCCTTGTTCACAGAACAGCTGAAGGTCCCCTTGTCCCTGAGTCCCTGAAACCCGAATCCTTGAATCCCTGAGTCCTTGACTCTCTGAGGTCCTGGACAGATTTTTAAAATTTTCTTTTTTTAAGTAGATTTCTTAATATACAGTAATCTGCATATTGTGTTTTGACTATAAGTCAAGCCTTAGAGTTGCAGAGGTTGTTGCTGATGCATGTATATTCCCTCATACTGTGTTTTTCTCTTTGTGTTCAGCATTCAAGATAACTCACGTCCTTTTGCTGAGAAACCATCAATGGGAGACGCTCGGCCGCCCTACAGGTACACAGAAAACGTTCTTCAGACAAATCTGTCTCACACACTCTGTCTTAGCACAATCATCAGCACTTCAGTTTCCATCATCAAATTTTCAATGTATTGTATATATGAGGTGTTATTCATTTTTACTAGTCAACTAGGCGTCATTACCATATTAAAAAAAAAAAAGACTTGTGTTCTAGACGTCTACAGAAAGTCTTGTGTTAGTAGTTTGAAAATAGGAGCCGCAGTTTAAGATGTGAGATGTGCAGGAGAGTTTTTGTTGTATTTCACACAGAAGTGCAAAGACAGACTGTCTGACGTAAACTGCACTCTAAAATCACCACAGTGCTCAGAATCTTACCTCTCACTAACTATTTAAACTGGCTCGGGTTGTCTGCGCTTCTGTGCACTGTTTTTATTAGTGTGAAGGGGAACTCAGTGACTGTTCATTCATGAACATTCATGCTATCATGAACATTCATGCTGAGTTCTGGAGGAAGTGGGGGTGCTGAGGTTGCTGCAACACCTCTCTAGACTTAAGAATTGGATTTACACAACTGCTAAAAAGAAAAAGAAAAAAAAAGTTCTGACATGAACGTAGTAAAGATCCATATCTGCCTGTTTTAGAGTGGAGTTTTATTTTATTATTCATATATTTTAAAAACTTGTCTTAGCTGTGCACTATTTACATTAACAATGTATTTTCATTAAAGCAAACAGAATCGCTTCCCTCGCCCCCTGCTGGCTGCTTTGGGGGCTCGGCACTAAAACACACAGAGGTTAAGGTGCAAATTGGAAAAATGTGTGCAGAGCTTTAGGACATTTCTGAGCCCAAAAGCAGCCTAATGTTTCTATATCATTTTATATCATTGTTTTATACCATTACATCTCCCACTCGGAGTGTGTTCGAGTGTGATGGTGGACGTGACACAATTGGTTACCACACCACACATTAACAATCTGATTGGATGCCAATCAACTCATTGCATAAAGTTCATCCGGAAGGGGAAGAGCAGAGAAATCAGGGTGTGCACCAGCTGTTAGATGTGTCAATTATGTGGGTATATTTTCCTCTCTCGCCACATTATGTCACCTTACGGCACGTCACATCACACTCTGATGTAAATTATCAGAAAAAAAATCACTTAACAAAAAGGCAAATCATTTTGCTTGATGTCAAAGTTCACGAATATATTGCTTAAAATCTCTGCACCCCCAACTTAAAAACACCTTCCAGCATCCCTGATGGAACTCTGTTTGTTTTCATTGCGCGCTCATGCTAAGCAGTTTCTGATTTTGCATGTGAGTCAAACAGTCCTTTCCTATTGTGGTTCTCTAAACTAGCTCATAAAAGCCTTATGAGATTTTTGGCCTTTTCTTTCTACTGCCACCTACTGGCATTATTTAAGTACTACACCCACATTAACTGGAAAATAGCAATGGGTATGTATGCTAGGGGTCACACAGACTAGTCAACTTTAGCGCTCGGCAGTGACAATCTTGATGTCGACAGTCACTGATCTCATGATTATGACACTAATAACATGAACACCTCAGAGAAGACAACAAGTGAGGAGCCTGGTGATTCTGGCTTTCGTATCTCTGGTTTCCTAAAGGCTAGTTATGTGATCAAGGGCTCGTTGGAAAGGACACATCTTGCTCTACTGACTTATGGAGTTTGGCTTCATTAATTAATTAAGCCAAACTCACATCATGAATACTAAGCCTAACACATGATGAACGTAATCATCTATTTCCTGAAGACCACAATAAAAAGTCCTATGTGGTTGGAGGGGAGGGCGTAACACTCTGCAATCCTGTAATGTTTGAAGTCAGTTACTCTTATTTTATACTTTAAATTTATTGGCTCTCCGGACCTCAGTGGCAGACGAGCATCTCAGTAAGGCCACCTAAGGTGCGCCTAAGTCGGATACAAATTTCTGAGATTCCGAGGTCCATGTCTCTGGTTCCCGGAAGGCTAGCAGTGCAATCCAGGGCTCGTTGGAAAGGGCTTGTCATGCTCTACTGACCTGTGGAGTTTAGCTTCGTCATAGATTTTTAAAGTTGCTTGCTGCAAAGCGTTCCCTTCTCCTGTGGTTTTATTCGTGACGCCATTATCGATCAGTTGACATTGACTCGACTTTAAAAATCTGAGGTTGTGCAGCCCCTTTGTGCACATATCAGTGCATGAGTTTAAAGTATCAGTGTGAGGAAAATAGAATGAATAATTCAGTGATTAATTGTTGTATTGGCACAGCTCCTGCTAGAAACACATGCAGATATTCTCATTGTGACTGTTTTCCTGTTTGCAGCTCATCTGCTAGCATGCGTCCAACAGCTGATAGACCACCAATGGGAGGGCCTCATCAACCCAACAGGTACATGGGAAACATGAAACATCAGATATTCCTTCTCACGTTATATTTACCCTGTAATGAGGATGTTTTTCGCATTGTCTGTTTTTATCTGCATGCAGCACATATGATAGCATTCTACCATCATCACCCAGAGCAGGGGGCTCATTTAATAGGCCGGGTCTAGGAGGACCCCAACAGCCCTACAGGTAATACAGTACAGTTGGGTTGTCTATTCGATTTAAAAAGGTAGTTTGGTATAAAATCAAATTTACCCAGTTTTACCTTTACACATGTTTGGGGTCTGAAGTTTGTTTGGAGCTGGAGCTATGAGGCTAATGTAGCTAACAAGTAATGGGAGCTCATGTACAACAATTAGCATGGTGCTAACTGCATTTCATCGCATTCACCTCAAAACCAATTATACATTTTTTATGACCAATTTTGATTCTTTTTTTTTTCCCCACCCTAATTTGACATTTATTTTTAGCCAATGTGTATTCTATTACTATTTTATTACTGTCTATTCTACTATTTTATTATTATTATTATTGTTATTATTATTATTAGTAGTAGTAGTATTAGTATTATTATTATTATTATTAGTATTATTTTGTTTTATCTGTGTGGGCTAGATGAACACATGAAAACACACTGGCACGTCTCCAGAAATTCCTCTCAGCCAAAGTCAAACTATTAATAACATAATTTTCTCTTTGATCAGCCAAACTGGCACTTTAAATTCTTTAATTAATATTTTTTAAATGCCAGAGGTCGTGTTGGGAGTTTTTCATACCACTTCATACATCTTTGTGTATTTACGTCACACACAGGCTCTAAAAGAAGGTCTGGCTCGATGTTTGGGCCTCAAAAGAATTCAAAATAAACATTGTACTGATGAAGATATGATGACCGTAGTAGATAATTCACTCACATCTTCAGAAGACGCATGCTTTAACATGTTTTCAGTGAAATTCAGTTGACTGATTGACTCTATTTGAGGGGAGGGGATTACATTTTTTTTTATTAATCTATAGCTTTAATATGTGTAATCTGTTAAAATAAATTTATTAAACTGTATATATGTATATATATAATTTTTTATATTTGATTGACGCCGTACTGTGTTTTGTATTTTATGTGATTTGTAGCTACACAGCAGGTCCAGGTCAGGTGCTCAGTAACCCGTACGCTAAAAGCAGGAATCCGTATGAAGAGCGCAGTCCGTCTCCAGATCAGTACAGGAGCTACAACCCACCTTCATCACCTCAGGCTTACGACGACAGGGTGAGCATCCGACTCAATCATTATTTCATAATTGAACTATTAACCATTTACTCAGTGACGTAAATAATTAAGACACCGTAAATGCTTTTCATAAATGTGATATGTTTAGTTTTAGGTTATATGACATCTTCAGGCATAGCTATTCTGGCTATTTATTTTATTAGAACTTTATTCTAGAAATAAACTTTACACATGAGGATCAGTTAGCTGGAACTGAGCCTGTAGTGGGATAGGTGGAACTTTTATTCTGCTAGCAACGCTAGCGCTAGCTTAGCCCAGCAGATAACAGTTTAGAACAGGTTTAATTTCGTCTCTCCGTCACTTTAACACCAGCCGCCTGACTTCACTGTCTTTGTCTTCAAACCTGTTCTGTGGTTAGCAGCGCTGCTATCATGCTAAGCTAATGCTAACCAGCTCCTCCTAGTTAGCAGCACCATTTGGCTCTTTCTGTGAATAGAGTTCATTCTCAGCTTGAAAGCTCTTTAAAAATGTACTTCTTTCTTTGCCTTTTTTGACCAAGTGTCAATTAAAGTGCTCAACTTTCAGAAGATGTTATTGTCCCATCTCAATCTGTCAAATCAGAGACTATATGAGCTGTTTTTTTCTGAAATATTCAGCATTTTTTGCGACGCTGTTACCAATTTTTAGGGAATAGAATTTAAAAGCCTGTGTCAACTGAATTTATTATTTTCTAGCATGAAATACATATATTCATGAACTGCTTTTAGAACTTTTCAAATAAATACTAAAAATCCAAAGTTTTGTTGTGTTTTCTATATTTTTTATATGTTGTTGCTGTCCAAAGAATCTCCATTTGCATACTATGAGCTCAGCAGCTGTGCTTTACACTGTGTAAAAATTTTGTTATTGGGCCAATAGAAGCTCCAAAATAGCTTCAAATAAAATTTCTTTACATTGACTAACATTGAAGGTAAAGAAGGTTTTTGCCCTTTCCTCTTAAGTTACCATTTTGGAGATGCTTTTTTTTCTTAGGACAGCAATGATATATTACTTCAAGGCCTTAAGAGCTTTTTTCTCTCAAAAAAAGGACATTTTTTCTTGTATTAGTAATTTTAACTGATTACTTACTAAATTAAACATTTTGTCACCAGTATTGACTGCGATAATAGCCCCCATTAAGCTAACATTAAAGCAGTAAAAAAATAAATAAATAAAAAACATATAAAGTATACAACATAGAGCAAAAGGGAAAGTTGAAAAAATGTTTTAATCAAAATGTTTTCATTCAAATTTTTATTTTTTTAAGCCATTATAATTTAACCATTATTTAAATTTATTAAAGGTTAAAAAATGTGTATTAGGTAGTTTTCAGGCAGTTTCGTGAGAATGATTTGATAATATTAGCTGTTGTATTACTCCGTATTTTATCAAATAGAAAATCAGTGATATTGTCTACTATGCACCCAGTTTCTGATGGAGTTTTTTTTTTTTTTGGTTCTTCAGAGAATGGGTCCATCTTCAGTGCCCTCCTACGCTGCTCCAGACTACAGCAACCGCAGCGCTTTCCCTCGAGCTCAGATCAACCGCATGTAATGAAGAGAGTCACCCAGAGAGAAGCAGACGCGTTCAGACTGTAAATATGAAATGTACTGCTAGTCAAAGGTTTACATACATCTCACTTTTCAAAACATTTTTAATATAAATGATCATGTCTTTTTTGTCGTTTTACTGTATTAAAGCCTCCTCTGGTTTTTTAGAGTGAACATCACACGTAAATATTTCTGCCAATATTAAGAAAATCAGGGCAGAGTAGATTTATAGCTGCTGTTCACACGTTTGACCACCAGGTGTATGTCAATGTGCACCAGTTTTAAAAGCTGAGAGTAATAAACTCTTTTTAGATATAGTGCAAAATAAAGCATCTCTGCTTAGCAACAGTGCTAGCTTAGGAATAAAGACAAAGGCCACGCCCTCTTGTTGTAAAGTCAGCACTCAAATCTTTCAGTTTTTGAACCACCTTTAGGGCCGGAAGAGTTAAAAAATGAGCTTTTAACAATAGCTTGGGAAAGAAGTATCAAATCAAAAGAACAGCAAGAAAATTCTAAATTTTAAAAGAACGAAAGATGGCTCCAAACTTTTGATGGGCAGTTTGGATTTTCTTCATTTTTAAACCAGCTACATTTCTATTTTTTGTAATCTTGTTTAAATTGTCATTCATCCTGATAAATTAATTGTCATATATTTATGGTTATTACAAAAACTTTTACAATCTAAATGTGTGGATTTATTTATGACCTAAAATTAAGATGTATCTGCACTGTATTGTATCAAATACATCTTTGTTTTATGGTTTTATTACCTGAACATCTAATTAAAAATATTTTGAAATTGTTGAAACATTAATCTGTAATTTTTCTTCATATTCACATATTAATTAGCATTAATTAAGCTTTGTAAACATTTTACATCTAATTACATCTTTTTGATTTCTCCAAATTTCAATTTTTTTTCTCTCAAGAATATCATTTACCAGTTTAGATGCATTGTACAGCATGACACAATTTGTTGGAAACAGATAAATCTGGAATTACTCATTTCTGAAATCTGTACAGCTGTAGTTTTATTTATTTTTTAAACTTTGTGCCAAAACTGGCCTTAAACATCTGTGTCCTAGAGGTTTTGTTGATCACTAATCTCTTTAAAATCACTGAAAGTTTACATAAAATCCAAATATATGGGTTTATATATTTAGACAATTTTGTTACAAATTACTGTCTAATATTTGTCAGAATGATAATGATAAACGTTTTGTGTCCTTAAATTTATCCAGAAGCCAAAATTGTCTAAATTTGCATGGAAACAATTCAACATTTCTGCTAACATGTTAGGTCAGATTGTAATAATGGTACATCATTTTTCAATTGATTTTGATTTGATTTTATTTGTTTTTGAAAATTAATTTAATCAAAATTAATGAGAATTTTGAAACGGCTGAAAATTTCACACAAAGCCGAGACTTTAAACCCTCAAACATTGTCCGATTTGGTCGATCTTTATGCTTAATTTAATTAAGAAGTGCTGTGAATTTTTTCAACAATTTCCTAAAAAATAAAGCTAAGTTTTTGGAAAGATAAACATAAAATGGTTTACTATTGAATTTATGTTTCCAAGAAACATTGGATATAATACACCATTTAAAGACATTTTTCAAAAAATGTGTCATTTTTCATGAAATTAAAAGTGAAAAAACAGTACAATTATGCACATGAAGGTAAGACTACGGCCTTACATATTCGGTTTGTAGAATTATGTGAAATATGTGGAAATATGTGAAATGATTTTTATATTTGTTTTAGATGATAAGTGCGTCTGTGAACTGTTAAGTGATATCTCTCCAAAAATAAAGCTGTAAATATAGATATCGATCGTTATGTTGTGTGATTGGAAAAACAATTATCAAGCAGAATTTATAACATACTGGATATAAAATACTACCTGAAGACATTTTACAACTGTTCGTGTTTTTGCATGAACATTAAGGGAATTTAAGAACGGTCCAAAAATTTGCATGAAGGTAACGCTGTAGTCTTACATATTTCAGCAATGCTGGTGCAGAAATAATCATAATTAAAAGTAAATAGAGGTAATTTTTACATTTCATATGGACAGTAAGTTTTTTCAGGTACTGTGATGGAACATTTTCCAATTATTTCAACAAAAATATTTTTTTTAAAGATAACTTTGGGTATATATATGGGCATATATGGTTATAGAGTAAAATTCAAACGTTGTTTCAGAAAAGAATTTAGACCATATTAGATATAATACACTATATGGAGACATTGTACAACTGATTTATGTGTTTTCACCAATTTTGATGCAATGTGCAATGCAAAAGTGTTTCAAGAAGAATTTGCAGATAAAAAGACGTCAAGACATTTTGCAACTGTTTTGTGTGTTTTGGCATGACATTTAAGGGGGTTTAACAGCAGCCCAAAAATTCACATGAAGGTAAGACTGTAGTATTACATACTTCAGCAATTGTGGTGAAAAACAAAAGATGATTTTTATACTTATTTTTGATGATGTGTTCTGAAAAGTATTTTCAAAAACAATTTATCATATATTAGATATAATACACTATGTAGAGACGTATTAAATATGATTTAAGTATTTGGTGCAGGAAGTTCTGAGGATTTCAGAACCCTCGAAAAACTGACATGAAGGTAAGACTATAGTCTTACATATTTCAGCAGGTTTGATGTAAAAACAAAAGGTTAATTTTATACTTATTTTCCATGGTAAATCTGTTTCTAAT